TTTACTACCGCATTAATGAGCATATGGTGGCAAACTTGATTGTGCAATTCTACTGTTGGTTATTTTCATTGGTACTAGGGAACGAGAATATTTGCAGCTGTTTAAGCGTTAAGGGTGTGCGTAGATGGATAGAATGTGTAACTCAAGAAGGAATCAGTTGCACAACCTCATATGCACAGGTATGTCAAGCTAGCTGGATATTAATTGGCCCACATTTATGCATGCGTACTAGTTACATAAATATATCCTTGTAGGTCACTGTGCAAAACGGGTATGCGCATGTGTGAACGTAAGCGGCACTATTTACCATTACCTAACTTGCAACTGTAACTGAATACGCATAAAGTTCTTTTCGTCAAACGCACGTTTTATGGAAGTATGCCCACCGTGAAATTATACGCAGCATGAAGTTGTGCGGCTCGTAGGTTCTGTAAAGCGCTAACCAACATAGGCTGCGCATAAACACACTTGCTTAACTATGCCATATATAAACGTATTATGAGCTGTGAGTAGATAAGCTCCAGGGTGGCATGCCATAATGGATGGCATCGCAGATGCATCATGCATCCAAGAATAAAGTAAGAAGAAAGTAAAGGGTTATATGTGAAGCTCGTGCATGTGTAACGTCTTGTACATGCGCAAGCCATCTGTCAGTTATCAGCAATCTATCACCATATACCTGTGTTCATTTTCCTATCTTCTAACATAAGCATGTGACTTCATGAAACTCATATATATATATCTGTACGGTAGAGTAGAGAGGTAGATGTGTTTAAGCAACCATGCGTGTAGAAAATTCATGTACGGACGCAATGTATGTTGTCTTAAATAATGCGTGGTATTGCGTAAAACCTGCAAGTAAATACGTTCAGGCATGCAGCCGCTAACTAGTTTAGAGGGTCGCCTGTACCGGGAGCCCAGAGAGCGATTCCAGAAGACAGATCGAGTTGCAGGGAAACTTTTATTGGTACAGTAAAAGATTCCCTGTTATCTAGCTATAAAAGAACGACACCGTGGACGCTCTAGCTAGGGGAACGGATCAAGCACAGCACACAGAGCAGTTGCGCGTTGCAACCGAAACGAGCGCCAAGCAAAAATGGCGATGAGCAAGTAAAGCATTCGAACTCAGCAAGCAGTTCAACAAACCACACCGGTTGCCTAGGTGTACAATTAAAGAATTTTGATTAGAATTTTACACAGGCAAACCGGGGAATCTCCAGACTGCTACATAGCCCTCTCCCAGAAGGGACTGTGTAAGCAGTCCTTCGATCTACGTGAGGACTGTCCGTCGCCGGCCAGCCTTCTTCGAGACCAGGTTGTGAAACCTGATGCAGCTGCTGGGGGAGAACCATGCAATCGGACCCTAGCGGGCTCCCACCCGTGTCCTCCCTACGGTGTCGAAACTGTTAAAAAACTGCTTGTAGGTTGGGACAGTTAGTGAAGTTCACGTATGTGGTTGAGCAGGGAGTTCGTTTTACTTCCAGTTGACGCGCGGGGATCCAGCGAAATGTGAAACCGAGGTGCAAACAACCGGCGGTGTATATGGAAAGCAAAATGAAAAGCAGCATAAATGCATAGCCATACACAAAAGAGTGTAAAGCGAAAACCGTGCAAAGCTGTTTTTGGGTTTTCAAAAGGTTTTGCTCTTTTTTGGTAGTTTCAAAACGTTTTGGTCTTTTTTTGTGGATTTTCAAAAACGTTTAGTAAGAGCAGAAAATTTCGAAGGCACGTTCTACGTAAAATAGTAAGTGCTAACAAAGTCTGAAAAACGAACTGGAGGCTTGAGTTTCCTACCGCGTCGATTGAGAGTAGGGCGGGTAGGAGTGCTGTCGGTTGTGGTTGTCGGTTCTGCTGGAGCGGGCTGACTCGTCTGCGTTTGCGGTGCCGGCTGTGATGGCACGGGCTGTGAAGGTGCTTGTTGCACCGGCGAGTCAGACTTGTCGAGGAATGCTGGCTTGAGTCGATCGACGTTGATCGTTTCAGCCTTACCATTGTAGTCAATGGTAAACGTCTTGTCGCTTCTGCGTACGACACGGTACGGACCAGAATAAGGAGGTTGAAGTGGTCGGCGTACGCTGTCAGTGCGAACGAACACGTGCGTGCAAGTAGTTAGGCGTTCGTCCACGTTGGTACGCAAGCTCTGTGCTCTGGGTTGCACAGGCTGAAGCTGTCGCATGTGATGAGATAGGCGAGCTGCGTAGTCGCCATAGTCGAAAGTTGTTGGCGCTTTTGGTGAGACGAGTTCACCAGGTAAGCGTTGTGTGCATCCAAAGACTAGCGACGATGGAGTGGCGCGCAAATCCGCTTTAATCGTGTTTCTTATGCCTAAGAGAACGAGCGGAAGTGCTTCGTGCCAGGATGTGCTAGATTGGGCACAGAGTGAGGCTTTGAGTTGCCGGTGGAACCTTTCTACCATCCCATTAGCTGCAGGATGGTATGCGGTGGTTCGATTATGTTGGCAACCAAGAACGTCGAGCAGTTTGCTGAAGGATCCGTCAAAGTGTGATCCTCTGTCGGTGATGACTACGCTTGGGCAACCGAATTGAGCTACCCAGCGTTCTAAGAAAGCTTGCGCAACTGTCTCAGATGAGCAGTTGACTAACGGAATCGCCTCTGGCCAACGAGTGAATCGGTCGACACAGGTGAGTAGGTACACGTAGCCTTTGCATGGAGGCAAAGGTCCGACCAGGTCGACATGGACGTGTGCAAAACGAGCGTCAGGAGCGGGAAAGACGCCAAGTGGGCTTTTGGTGTGTCTGTAGACCTTGGCGCGCTGACACTCTAAGCATGCGCGTGCCCAAAGGCGGACATCGCGATTGACGTTGGGCCATATGAAGCGTTCCGTTACGAGCTTCTGCGAAGCACGTATGCCGGGATGAGACAGGTTGTGTAAAGCATTGAAAACTAGTCGACGCATCGAGGTAGGAACTACGGGTCGGGGAGAAGTTTGTGAGACGTCACAAAGAATGGTCCCCTCAGATGAAGCTAGTGGGACTTCACGTAGTTTTAACGAGGTGTTGCGTCGTAGCTTGTCGATGTCGGGATCAGCTTGTTGGGCAGCAGCCATAGCGGCTAGATCAATGTTGGTGCCAGGCGATAAGCTGATCTGCTGAATGCGTGAAAGCGCATCCGCGACGGGATTGAGAGCACCTGAGACATGACGTACGTCTGTCGTAAACTGAGAAACGTAGTCTAGGTGTCTAGTTTCCCGCGGCGAGTACTTGTCTGTTGCGCCACTGATTGCGTAGATCAATGGCTTGTGGTCGGTGAAGACTGTGAAATGTCGACCTTCGAGATAGTGACGGAAATGTCGGATACCTAGGTAGATAGCTAACAGTTCCCTACCGAAGGTGCTGTAACGCGATTCGGCAGGTTGTAAACGTTTAGAGAAGAAACCTAGAGGTATCCATCGATGGTCGATGAGTTGCTGAAGAACTGCACCGACGGCAGTGTCGGATGCGTCAGTTGTCAGGGAGAGTGGTGCAGATTTGTCTGGATGGGCGAGAAGCGCTAGGTTAGGGATAGCGTCTTTGAGCTTCTCGAAAGACAATTTAGCGTCGTCTATAAAATGAGAAGACCGTTATTTACTGCGGAGCAAGTCAGTCATTGGTTGAACCATGCTCGCGCAGTTAGGAATAAAACGTCTATGATAGTTAACCAGACCAAGAAATCGGCGTAACTGCTTAAAGGAACTGGGAGCAGGGTAGTCCTTCAGTGCGTGGATCTTGTCTGGCAGAGCTTCAATACCATAGGCGTATATGCGGTGGCCAAGAAAGTCGATGGAACTTTGGCAAAGCTCGCATTTATCGAAGTTAACGGTAACCCCATGCTGGGTTAAGCGTTGGAAGACAGCGCCGAGGTGATGAAGATGCTCTTCATCAGAAGAGCTCGCGATAAGAATGTCATCTAGATAAGGATAAACGCCTTCGAGGCCTTGCGTTACCTCATGAATGAGACGCTGAAAAGTTTGGGCAGCGTTACTGAGACCGAAAGGCATTCTGAGGTACTCGAATAGGCCGAATGGCGTGACGAGTGCTGTTTTAGCAATGCCCACTTGCGCGACAGGTATTTGATGATAGGCGCGAACTAAGTCGACTTTGCTAAAGATAGACTTGCCAGCTAGAGCTGTAGTCAAGTCGCGCATGTGCGGAATAGGGTATTTATCCGGGACTGTAACTTTGTTAAGTGCCCTGTAGTCACCACAAGGGCGCCAGTCACCGGATTTCTTCAGCACCACGTGTAATGGTGATGCCCATGGACTTTTGGACAGGCGGATGATTCCCAGTTTGCGCATTTGCTTTAATTCCGTCTTAGCAGCTTTGAGCTTGTCCGGGGCGAATCGGCGAGGGGGGCAGAAATAGGTTGGCCCTTAGTGCAAAAGTAATGCATGACGTTTGACGTCACAGGAGACAACTCGTTCATAAAGCTAACGAGTATAGGGTGCTTGTTGAAAATTTCTATAAAAGGTTGTGAAGCTTGAGGTAGGACACGAATGGGAGTGATGGCAGCCACGTTGGCGCTAATCCCGATAACACTGAGATGTGTCCTAGATCGTATCTCTGGGGGGACGGGGGAGTGGGGGGGGGGTTACTTGTGGGGTATTGCCTGTGTAGACTCCGAGACACATGGTTGGTTCATGGGGAGGGTGAGGGCGGTGAGTAAACACACAATATATCAATCACATATATATGCGGCGAGGGACAGAGGGAGGGGCACATTAAGCTAAGGGGGATTCTCGAGCGATATTGTCGTGATATAATATTTGGGGGCCATACACTGATGGGGTGTGTCTGACTGGACAGGGGTAGTATTATATTGAGATTATGGGGGGAGTATTGGTGATATAAGGGGGGGAAATTGAGGGGGGGGGGGGGGGGATGCGTTGGGGTGACTAGTGGGGTGAGGTATGGGTGGAGGGGGGTGGTTGGTAGAATAGAGGTAGGAAAATATATATATATATGTATAGGGGGGGGGGGGGGTGGGGGTGAGTGCTATGAGTGATGAAGGGGGGGAGGGGGGGGGGGTGGGGGTGGGGGGGGTGGGGGGGGGGGGGGGGGGGGGAGGGTGGGGGGGGGGGGGGGGGGGGGGGGGGGGGGGGGTGGGGGGGGGGGGGGGGGGGGGGGGGGGGGGGGGGGGGGGTGGGGGGGGGGGGGGGGGGGGGGGGGGGGGGGGGGGGGGGGGGGGGGGGGGGGGGGGGGGGGGGGGGGGGGGGGGGGGGGGGGGGGGGGGGGGGGGGGGGGGGGTTGGGGTGGGGGGGGGGGGGGGGGGGGGGGGGGGGGGGGGGGGGGGGGGGGGGGGGGGGGGGGGGGGGGGGGGGGGGGGGGGGGGGGGGGGGGGTGGGGGGGGTGGGGGGGGGGGGGGGGGGGGGGGGGGGGGGGGGGGGGGGGGGGGGGGGGAGTGGTGGGGGGTGGGGGGGTGGGGGGTGGGGGGGGGGGGGGGGAGTGTGTGAGGTTTTTGGGGGGGTGGGTGTTGTGGGTGTTGGTATAGTAGTATGAGAGATATGAGGTTGTGGGGTGAGGAGGGTGTATATGTGTATATATAGTTTTTATATTGGAGTGTTGTAGAGTGTTTTTGGGGTGTGGGTATGTGTTGTGGTTTGTATATGTGTGGGGTGGGGGAGTGGAGGGTGAGGGGGGGTGGGTGAGAGTTATGGAGAGAGTATATGAGGTTAGTTGGTGTGAGGAGAGGGGGTGAGTGGAGGGTATTGAAGGGCACACACACACACAGGAGAGTGTGAGGTGTGGGAGAAGGTGGGTTGGGAGAAGGAGGGGGGTAGGATGAGTTATATGAGTTGATTTGTAGGAGGTGAGAGAGCTGAGTGTTGCGCTGACTCTTGTTGTTAATATTTCTATGAGACCGAGTGCGCGCAATTTTGATGCGTTTTATATATTTAAGTGAGTGTGGAGAGAGAATAGACGGAGTATTGAAGTGTATTTTGGGTAGAATTTATTTGGGGTGATTAAGGTTTTTTTTGTTTATATTTGTGTGGTTGTTGGTATAGATAAGGTTTTTTGAATGTGAAAAGTTTGGGGGGGAATGGAGATAATTGGGTTGAAAGGTAAAGTTAAATTTAGGTGGAATTTTATTGAATTTGAATATAGGTTGTGGATTCAGTATTATGATTCCCTTTATATAGCGAGAAAAGACTCAGCGTGGACGCTCAGCTAGGGGAACGGATCAAGCACAGCACACAGAGCAGTTGCGCGTTGCAACCGAAACAAGCGCCAAGCAAAAATGGCGATGAGCAAGTAAAGCATTCGAACTCAGCAAGCAGTTCAACAAACCACACCGGTGGCCTAGGTGTACAATTATAGAATTTTGGTTAGAATTTTACACAGGCAAACCGGGGAATCTTCAGACTGCTACACTAGCATAGTTAATGCATTTGTGCTAATAGGAAGACAACAGTATAAGTTAGAGTAAGATAATATATATATATATATATATGTTTTCACTGAAGTGAAGGCGCCGTGAGTTTGTCAGGTTGAAGTGTGGCGCTTAAAAGTGCTTTTAACTGACTTCCGCTTAGTCGTTCAACATAAGACATCCGTTGACATATCAACGGTCCATGGTTAGAGTTGTCGTACTGCGGTTCTGTCAACGGACATTTGTTCACACTGGTGTATGGACTACCGCAAAATGAAGGGAGAAAAAATAACCGGCATGAGCAACGAGGCTATTGCGTGCGTCAGTATGGATTGAAGTTAAGAGGAACCGGCAAGTCCCACTAGTGTTTGAAGTTCGCACGCACAATTATACGCAACTAATACGGCTGCCATCGATTAGTTAACGTTTAAAAGGCAACCAAAATGGCGGCACTAAATTTACTGAGAAGTTAAGGCATAAACAGGAGTAGAGAAGCAAATGCTAGCAATAAGGTTACGAGATGAAAATATGCACAAATAGGTGGTACAATAAAGCAGTGGTGTATTAGCGCTAATGGGTATTGCAGATGCCGGCCGCTATATCCCTTAGAAGTCAGTAACACCACAGATTCTCTTATCAGCGCTATGACGCAATACAACTTGAAACACATCTAGTAAATACCGCTGCGTCCCTTCCTGTATTCCGCTTTCGAAAATTGCTGCAACTGTCATAGCTAATTTACAAGTGGTACGTTGCATAAAATCCAATTACCCTACTGTTGCCCGATGTGGCTTTAACCTTAGCTGTGGCGATAAGCTATTTATTTAACCAACAGACGCGTTGTGACGCACTAGTAACACGTCAAAACACCCTGGTCCAACCAAGCGAAGTAGCCTAGAGTATAAATATGATACAGTTACAGAAATTGTAGCTCATATGCAATATTGTATACCTCAGGCCCAGTATAACCGGGTCTTTGCGGTGCGCTGCATATATATATACATTTGTATATATATAGTGAACCATAGATGGGAGACAACTATATCCAGTAAACTGATACCATATTCCATGAGAGTGTGTGACTTGTTAGCTTCAAAGTCAGTGTAATTATATCCTTTTGGGAATTGTTTTCCAATCAGGTTGCGCCGGGTCGTTGGAGCAGCACTCAGATATCTTTAGGGGAAACCTTGAGCTGTGGTCACTGCAGAAGGCCTGCGCGCAAGCAAGAAGAAGGAAGCGGAGGCTGCTGCATTTCACACCCAGTGAATAGGAGGAAATTTGAGGTTGATATGATTAGCGTTTGAGAAGCCCATATACGTATGTTCAGGATGATTAACTGCACGGCGGCAGCCACTTACTTTCCAAACGGGACATGGATGGCTTCTACTTAAAGGCTCCTACATCAACTAGCGATACCCAGGTGGCAAAGTTTATCGCGTGCAGTCATTAGTTGCATGTAGCAGTATGTACTTTTTGGCACTGTATATGTTCTGTGAAATAGCCATGCGGAGGATGGATGGTAAGGTAGGGCAGAGAGACATTCATACCGAGCACCGAATATGCACGCCGTTTAGGAGAACTTAGCAAGCGCTTATCATCCACAAATTGAGCGCTTAGAAAATGTGCATTTGCATGTTAGCCATAGACGAACGTTAAAGCAATATGTTTAGCAACGGTTTATAGCTGACATATAGATTCATGTTGGCAACGTGATGTACCTGTACCTGGTAGAGTTTCGGTTCCCTACTTACAGTTACAAGGAAACATTCCTTAAACTACAGAGAAACAGGTCGGATGGTGTGAATCACAGGAAAAGCTCTTATACCTGGCAACCTCTAACATTGGTTTAAAGGAACAGTGTAAATGGGAACCATGGAGACGATGTTTAGCAAATGGGTGTTTACAAGAAATTACTAATCTGAGATTTTCAGCGTTATTTTGTTGCGGTTGGTCGCGCCGACGTTTGTCTGCTTTTTACCGGTTTGGGGCCACGTGGAGAATTTGGTTCACACAAGTAGCTGCAGAGTGCAGTTAGGGCTGTGCGTAAGCGGTCGCGGTACCACCGCTGTGGTAGATGAGAACGTTAAACCACCAGGCGCGTGAAACAAGTGCCCCTACCTCATGCAAACACGGTGCCGCAATGCTTTTAACGGGTGATTAATATCGTTGTTTAAACAGTATGAATAGCAGATGCACTGGTCATGAAACATGTTTAAACAATTTACAAATATTCCATACCTAGCAAGTGCGCTTGGTAATGGCTCGTCAACACGAAGTGAGAAGGCTGAGAAATGACATATCCTTTCTTAAATTTGGGGCCATTGCATTTTCCGGAACAGATTAACGAGATGCCTGCGCTGCAAACATTCAATATGCTTTATGGTATATCGAAATTGATGAAATGCACATGTGCAAACCGTTGAACATTGTGGAAACGGATTGTACTGGGGGAAAAGGGGAAATGGAAACCCGAACTTATAAATAAATAAATAACTAAATAAATACAACATTCACGAATATGTCGAGACACACCAAATCAGCGATGCTCAACATTTACATGCAATTAGGTTTCCCAGCAAACACGTTGATATGTATGTAATCGGCTGTAAGCCGAAACTTGTACAGGTGTAGGACTAGTTAATACTAGTCCGAGACGATGCGCGGAATTAAGCGTGGATATCAGAAGGCAATTGGAGCCGAAGAGAGCGGACTGTATTCGATGGACTACAACAAGAACCGGACGGATGAAGCAAGGCAAGAGCGTACACGTGAGCGCGGGGACTTACAAGGCAGTTGTGTGTCGAGCCGGTTGTAAGATTACAACAAGAAGGAGTAATGTACAATCGGTCAACAAGTAAATTGTACACGAAAGATAAGAGTTATCTTTTTGGGCGCTACAGAGCTCCCCCTTAGAAGGCTGAACATAGAAAGCCTTCGAAATCGAAAAGGAATGTTGAAAGGAGGTTCGCAAGGCGATTTCGCACCGAGAGAAAATGGGCGTGCGTTCGTGTAAATGGGGTTTCGTCGGAGTCCGCTGTGCAGTTTATGATTTGTTATTTATTTAATGCAGGTCAGGGTGCATTTCGGCGAGCCGTTGTAGCGGCTTGTCGGACTACAAAAAAAACTGGCTAGCCCAGAAAAAGGCCGACAGGACCTCAACCTCCGCTGCTGCCAAACGGTGCGCTTGGGAGTGGTCAATCCACCCGCCGCACTTCGCGCCGCGCCAAAACGACCCTCATCCCACGAAGAAAGCGACCATGGTCCCACGGAGAAGCGACCCTCGTCTCGCGGAGAAGCGATCCTCGTCCCGCGGAGAAGTGACCCTCGTCTCGCGGAGAAGCGACCAGTCTTCGCATCAGGGTCCTCAAAAACATTCCTCGTGCGGGCCAGTCGCTCAAAGTGGAGGGTTGAGGCATGTAAAGACGAGAAAATAGAAAGACACGCGCAGAAAATGCCAAAAAGAACAAACGAGTGTGCTGCGTGTCTAAATATTTTTTGGTTTTTGAATATTTTTTGAAAAACGTTTTTCGGCGTTTTTTGATATTTTTGTTTGTTTTCAAAACGTTAATCGACCAAAAATGAGGCAAATACATACAATATCTACAAAGTTAAAAGTATTTACACTGTACGTAGTCGGAGAAGCGAACGGGCTTACGTACCTCCTGACCACGGCGATTGGTCGTGGGAGGCGGCGGACTAGGTTCGGGTGATGTCGGGACTGCTGAAGCTTGCAGACCGTGATCGTGGTCTGGTTGGACTTCAATAGCATGCGGAAAACTGGTACGGTGGGTTGTGACGTCGCACGAGGCACTACTTGACGAAGTAGGCAAGGTAGTTACTTTCATAAAGGCGGGTTTTAGACGGTCGATGTTGACGACTTCGTGTCGACCACCGCGGTCAATAGTGTACGCCTTACTCGCACGATGCAGCACCTTGAAGGGTCCTATGTACGGCGACTGAAGAGGCTGTCGAACACAGTCCGCGCGAAGAAGGATGTGTAAACACGTAGACAGCTTCTCGGGCACGTACACGGGTATCTTCTGTGATCGAGGAGCGGGTGGACGTAGCTCACGCATCCGGTGAGCCAATCGGTCAGTGTAACTTCCGTAGTCGAAAGTGGAAGTACATG